TATATATATATATATATATATATATATATTAGTTGTATAGAAACTTTACCAGTAAATGCATGAAGAACGGTAGCAAAGCATGGCAGTGAACAAAAATAATTCAGATCAATTCTACTCCCCCTAGCTTCCTGCCCTCTACAGACTCACAAAAGACCAGCATATTTAGGTTATATGCACACATTCAAATAATCTGGGAGAATTTTCTCAGGTTTGTTCTCAGGGTAAAGAAACTTACCTAGAGCTATATGTAGAGATACTTGAATGCTGGGGCCCTGAAGAGTGGAGAACTTGCAGAGATGACATTGTGAATCTAGTGGGGGTCCTGTGCATACATCTCAGTATGCTTCTGCAGGCTCTCTTAAATCAGCAAGGCAACAGATGGCAGCAAGGCACAGGGCAGCCCTGACTGGCTAACCCAGACTGCCCATGGTCAGTCTGTGTTGTCAGCATGTACTGACATTAGACATCTTCTCTCCCAGGATAAACTCTCCTGGCAGTGATTTAACCCTGGTTGTTCCCATGTTGTTATTCTTCTCCTAGACTGGCCATTTTTACCTGGGAGAAACAGTCTGAACTTCCATATACTCATGGACTCTCACAGGTAAAACTGAATGTTGGTATGAGGCTTCAGACTGGAGCTTGGCCAAGGCAGGTTCCAGTGGCTAGTCTGGTACCTGCCTTAATCAGCTTCTTTGATCAAGGCTGTGTCAGCTAGTCACAGCCTTGGCTGTTGCACAGCTAAACCAAAAGTGCCCTGTGGATGATGAGAAACCTTTTCATTGCATCCACAGAAGGTTCATCTTATTCCTTTAGCTTAAGCTAAGAAGGGTGATAAAAGGTGACCCAGGCTCACTGCTTACACAAGATATTCACTTCCATCCCTGTTGAGGGGTTGAGAATAACACAGAGTTGGTTCATATCAGTTTTAGTGGGCACTGGAATACAACTGCCAAATGCAATTTTTGTTGATTAACTGATAAGTTTTCTGTGCCAATCAAGCTAAAATGGTGCTGAGATTTCCATGTGTTCTATGTTGCAGCTTCACTGAACTGGAATAGTTGTGAACATTTTGGATGACAGGATTATCACTGAAAAGTATCTGTACAAATTGAACAACTGGGCAGCAAACAACAAAAAGAAATCTTAGTACAGACAAATGAGAGGTGCTACACATAATGAATTCTAGACCCAAGAGGTAACAGCACTCACGCAGCACCAGATAGGCCTCAGCCAGAGCTGTGTTCAGTTTTAGGCATTGCATTATAGGAAGAATGCAAAGCCTTGAGAGTCTCCATGGGTGAGTGATGAAAAAGTGAAAAGACTTAGGAAAGCAAGGTAATTGAGGAAAGGTTGATGGATCTAGTATTATTTACTTTGGAGAAAAAGGAGATTGGAGTGTGAATGAGGGTCTGTAAATATCTGAAAGGGTTTTATTAAAAAGGAGTAACATTTCTATCCCCTGCCAGAGATAGGATCCAAATATTAATATGGCAGTAGATTACATTCCTGACAATTCCTTTATGAAGTTCAGAAACCTTCTTTTGGCCTCTCCAAGAAATATATGGACAAATTACTTCAGGAAAATGGCAGTCAAAACAACTGCTATCAGCTGCCAGAAAGTACTCTCCTAATTAGCTACTTAATCTACTCCACAGCATTGTAAAGGAACTGTCCTCAGCATGCAGTGATTGTATGATGAGCCTAGCAGTAGGAACTAACAATGCGTTTGATATTGCTGACTTGATTTTACTTCTCTCTTCCTTATGGGGTTCATCCTAGAGAAGAGCATAGAGAATTTGAGGGCTGTTTCACTGTTGCTGCAACTGCTACTACATAAAAGTGAAAACAAGATTAGACTCAGTGAGAAAACAGAATGAAGGAAAGGATTAAAAGCAATGTCACATGGCATAACAGGTAGTACTTATTTTGCTCCAACAGTGATTTAAATACAATATAGTATGTTAGATATACTAACTGGGCCCAGGTTGCAAAGAATATTTCTAGGGCTGCGCTGGTGCACACACTATGCAGAAAACAAGGGAATTGGAAATTATTCCACCTGAGATATCATTACGTTGTACAGATTTCAGCAGAACAAATACAACCTATATATATATATATAGTATACAGATGCCTCCTCAAGTATTTGTTGTATAATCCCATCATGGCTTCTCTTATCACATCTTTTACTGTCTACATACTCTCAAACCATACTGTTATTCACAGAATGGAATATGGATCAAAAAGTTGCATTTGACCACTTACTCTACTAACCATTTTTTCTATATTTTTCTACAATCAATAAACACAGTAGCTTTATATGTTTATTATTTTCTTTAAAAAAAAGTTGAAAAGAGATTAAAGAATTTGACGTGCAAGTGAATGCTTACCTGAGTAGGAGTTGCTCTGTCTTACAGAATCATTAAAGGAAGAAAAGCCACCTAACAGAAACGAACATTTATTATTCATTGGATTGTAAATACCACTACTATCGTTTTTTTTTTTTTAAGTTAACAGCTAAATTTGTTCTATTACAAGCTATCAAGTAAAACTATGACATTCTGGGTTTTCCATATAATTTTTTCTAATAATAATAGTAATAAGTTTAGTATTTTTAGTCAGCATCCTACATTCCAGGGGGCCCACGGCTTGTTCTGTAGCCCCTGGCCTCTTAAAACTTACAAAAACTTCATCACAGCAATACACAGCTGGAGTATTGTGTCCAGTTCTGTGCACCCCATTTCAAGAGGGATGTGGACAACATGGAGAGGGTCCAGAGGAGGGCCACCCGCATGATCCGGGGACAACAGGGCAGACCCTACAGTGAGAGACTGCGGGACCTGAACCTATTCAGCCTCCAC